GCGGATTTAGGAGATGGGGCGGCGACTAGGGTTTGTAGATGAGGCAGCTAGGGTTTCATGCTCTGATATCATGTAAAGAATAAAGAGAACCCTAATTAATTATTTATTGAGATAATAAGAGATATATATAGTGATACAAATATGGTTAAGGTTAACGGGTAACAGCTCGTTAACCCAATACCCAATACTTAATTTAACATTGGTAAACCAAGATTCAAGGATATCTCGACACAACTGACCAGAAGTAGCGAAAAAATTACTATTTGTCAAAACTTTTAATTACTTGCATAGAGAAGAAAAATGGAAACCTTAACAGACAGCTAATTTAGTGAATTATGAAAATAGACGGCATCAGATCTTCGATGATAAAAGCTAATATGTACACATTGGATTTAAACTGCATTAAATTCGTTGGAGGCAATTTAAGCTGCTATCTCCTGGGGTCTGTGGTTCCTCATCGACCAACTCAATATCGTCTGTATCAGCTGGATATTGGCGATAAATCATCAGCAACTGCTTGTGGATTTCTTGCATCCTCCCACTTTGTTCATCTTGTTGGTCCATCTCAATTAGATCCTGTAGAAACTAAATTTTGATTATAATAAATTTTTATACAATTTTCTCATCTACAAATTATGAGACCAGTGTGAATGAAGCTCAAACTTGCACTCCTTTACTGATCTTTTCTCACACCTTAGATAATGTCATACTAGATGCTTTCTTCAATATCCTTAATGGAAGCAAATAAAGCCCGTATTGACATGAACATCAGAAGGGGAAAAAGCATAAATTATAAAAAGGTATACATGATGGATAGAAACCCCATGTTTGAATTTCATCAAGGTTAAGCAGGATGAAAAAGCTAGGATCATAAAATACGATAAAATATAGGGTTCACTGCATACATACCACCTGCAGTATTGTAGTTTCCAATTTATTTTCCCTGTAGTTCAGATATGCCCCGTGGATATTTTTTTTTTTTGACTCTTTTTACCTCAAGATTGACTCAATAATTTCAGCTAAGGACAATACCTCCAGAACTTTCGCCTGAGGCAAAACAGTTAAAAAATACTTGACCCAGGGTGTCTATCTGACAAACTGAAACACAGGGGTAGTATGTTCAAAACAACGATACTCCAAGAAGATCTATGTGCAATTAAGCATATATATGACTATTAAATTGAACAATGTTGATTACATCCAAGTATTGTTGATTATTTGACTAGAAATTGAAAATGAGGATAAAGTAACACTTTTAAAACTTTATCCCATAAACCATAGGGGAAGTTTTTGTGATTTACCCAAAAAAATTATAGTACAACATGAAACTACAATTATTATAGCATCCTCTGCTTAGAAGTAAGTGTAAAACTTGGAGGGTATCATTATCTTAGAAAGAAAAACAAACCTGCGCAGCCAACTTGCAGAAAATGGGATAGAATCGATTCTTGCAGTTCTCATTGAAGAGGAGTGTGAGTATCACAAGTGGAATTGTGAAGCCAGAAGCTATTGGTGACTTCTTAAGCCCGAAGAATCCAAGCGCTATAACTTGGGTGAGCACCAATGAGAATATCGTTGTATTGTGAACAAGAGGCCACAATTGACCCCCATAGTCATACTTTGTACGATAGACATTCATAAACTGTAAATTGTGAATGTAAATCATGAGATGCGCAATTGTAAAAAGTTCTAACTGTTTCAATTAAAACTTTCAAAATGTAGTATAAGGTAAAAGATCATTCATCACAATAATTCCATGTCAAGTGACACCATCCTAAATCAAACCATGAGATAAATATACGTGCATTTATCTGTTTCTGTTGCAATTGCTGTCTTCACTATTTCAGTCATCATAAGCATGTCTATCTGTTTCTGTTGCAATTGTTTGTCTTCACTGAAAAAGGAAACTTAGGCTGTCCGTAACGATAGACATTACTTGAATTAAAAGCATCAGTCTTCTCCTTTTACAGATTATCAAAAATATTGTATTTTATGCTCTGTATCATAAAATGCTTGGGGTCAAGCCTCAAAGGGATGATATCTCAACAGTTCGCTAAAGGTGTTAGGATAGGCATTTGTACATGAAGAGGGGAAACTGGTCAGGTTTGAAGAACCTTGAAGAGATGTTCTAGCTGGCTTCCTTCACGTACAAGAGAGACTACACATTTCCTCAGAAGCTAGCACATGGAGGGTGATGTCAAGTGACACCATCCTAAATCAAACCATGAAATAAATATACGTGCATTTATGAAGTAAAGTGATACCTCCAAATGATTTGAGTAGTGTAGTGACCCATTAATTCTCAATGGGCCATACCTAAAAATTAAGTGATCCTAGGACTCATTTAACTTAAATGATCCAATTTACAACATATCAAAGAGCTGTTCAATCAAAGCTGCTTACTAGAGATAGATTGTGCCACTTTGGTATTTCTGCTATCAGCTTGTGTATTATGTTCAATGCAGGATGAAGAGTCCACCAGCACTTTTTCTTTTCGTGCACTTATTCTATGCGGGCATGGAATGCCATTTTGGACTAGATTGGTTTTTTTTGGAAAACATGTGATTGGAATCTACTTATACATTGGTACTCTACGAATCTGAAAGGTAGAGGTTTTAAGCAGCAGCTTAAGAGAATGGTTCTCTCGGTTACCCTTTAATACCTTTGGCAAGAGAGGAATTTGAAATTTTAATGCAAAAATCAAGGGCATACGAATCTTTAATCAGAATCATTAAATCCTACATACTTACAGTGATGCTTAAAAGTTTAGTTGAAGATACATACAAGGACAGGATGTAGAACTTGTAGCATCTTCTTTTTTGTATGTAAATGGTGTAACTCAGGCTATTTTCTTCTGACTTCTTCAATGTACATAACGCTCACAGTTGGGAAATTAAGTAAAAAAATTTATTGACAAAAAAAACAATCAAAAAGCTATGATAAATTTTAAAAATGAAAAAAAAGGATATATAAGTTTACTTTGAGAGGATATATTATGTGGCATTTCGAATAAATGCTATTATGCAACGATTCCAAAACATGAAGACATGTAGGGGCAATTGTAATCATATCGAGTTAAATGCCTTTTGTATCTCATTAAAATTCTTGAATATATTGAATGTGAGGGGTAAATTACTAATAACATCTTTTTATATATTGTGACACCACTATTTATTATGAATTTCTGGCTCCGACGCTACTAGGAAGTCAAAAGCCCCAGAATCAAAATGATGATGATGATGAAAATAAATAAACAATAATAATATTAACTATAATAAACAGAAGTAAACAACAAGGTGGCAAGTTGGTTAAAAACATTGCACCCAATACTAGGATGATTAGGACGGGCTGACATGGAATTTGCATGTCAGGCATATAAATCAAATATCTACAGATAGAGATGTGTTAGATTTATCGTGGTTTAGTTATTGGGTCAGTGGGTATGGACCTCATCTTATAACTATCCAGTTGTATCCCTATGTATTACTCTCCTCTAATCAATTAAAATTTGCTCCAATATTTCATAACATGGTATCATAGTAGTTAGGAAATACCAATCAATGTCTCTCGTTCTTTCAAAAAAAAATAATCCTTCACAAAAAAAACCCTAACATCCCATCGCCACTCACCTATCACCGCTGCTTGTGGTCTTTCCTTCTGCCTTCGCTTGGAGGTCCCCCACCACTTGCAAGGGCCTCGATTGCCATCTGATCTCCTTGCCTTGATGGTCTGATAACCCCTCCTTGATAGTCCTCATCACAATTTGATCTAATCAGCCCTTCCTTGATAGTCCTCGTTGTGATCTGATCTCAGCCGCCTTGTCCCTGCAGTCCTCATGCAATTGAGATTGACTTGCTAATATCTGCCTTCCTCGTTTGAAACCACCAGCCCTCGACAACGACTTCAGATCCAGCAAGGATAGGACACGACTTCAGCCATCACCATGCTTCCACTCTCAACCGCCCGATCCCAACGACCGCACAACTGCACCTTCAGCATTCTCGCGCCTGAGATCTATCTACAAACATGTGACCTAAACTGATACCATCATTGACTTTTGCTCCTGTCCCGCTGTTAAGAGTTCTGCCCTGGTTCCAGCTCATTGACGTCAATCAAATCTACTCCCTCTGAAGATAGTCGTGATTATTGATTGTTTTATTCGAATCTACTAATCAATGATCACAATTCACTACTATATCAATTTTTCTATTACTTCTCAATTCCCTATTGATTTTGTTGTTCTATTGCTTCTTTGAGTTCCTCATCAACTGTCGATGATATAACCTCTGCCACTATTGCTAATATGTTTCTCCTACAATGCATAATCTACTTCCTAGAATTTTGACTGCCACTATTGTGAATTTGACTGGAGACAACTACCTGCTATAGGCTCAAGCTTTTTGTGTATTTGTTGGTGTTTCAAAAGAAGTTGAAGCATCTCCATGAGGACCCTGCCTATTCTGAACGATTAGTTATTGACTATTGTGTGATCACCCAGTTGTTCAATAATATGAATGAGAAAGTGAGCTCCGGTACCCGCTAAGAATATTTTAATTACCTTGAAGGAGGTGTATACCGATGAGAAGAACATCTTCTGAGTTTTTTCTCATTATGAGCAGTTGTTTATTGTCCGTCAAGGCGTAAAATCAGAGTTAGAGTATTACTCAACCTTCAAAGGGATTTTAGATGACATGGATTAGACCCTACACAGAATCAAGTGTGGGAGATATACTGCTGGAGATATTGTTCTATCGTTGACCCCCAAATACTATCACATGCTTAGTCTCTCGAGTTGCTCTACACTGTCATCATCATCCCCAGCTACACATCTACAGCTACTATTGAGCAGTCTTCCGTACAATCGAGTGATAGTCATGGGCAAGGATGTAGTTGCGGTCATGATTCAATAAGAGGCCATGCATCCATTAGTAGCCGACAAACTAGAGATCGTCGTCATCGATTGTATCTACTGTGGTAAGAATAATCATATTTATGATAGTCGTTGGGTGAAGTTTCTACTCCTTCCCCTGCCCCTACTCCTACAGTTGCTCCCGTCCTTATTCCAGTTATATCTTCGCTGATGGTTCAGATCTCTCATGTGAAATTTTTCCAACTACTTCAGCTCCAATCCTTCAAACGAGTCATACAACCACTCATGCATCCTCTTCAAGTATGGATGCTTACATTATTTCCACTGAGAGATCTTGGATACTGGATTCAGGAGCCTCTTGCCATATGACATGAATAAAAGATAAATTTGATTCCTTACAATTTTTAAATAAATTTCCTTGTGTTCGTATTCTTAATGAGACTTTTTAACCAATCTTTCGACATGGAACAGTTCATTTTACCACATCCTTGACTTTTAAAAAAATTCTTTATGAACCTATATTTCCTATTAGTTTATTCTCTATTAGCCAACTTGTCAAAAATAATAATTGCTCAATGACATTTGAGAAAATCATCTCTTCTCTTTCTCTGATTATTTATTTCTACATGTTATGATAGTCATTCATCTAATACCCCCACTTCTAATCTTAGCCATTCTTCTCATCCCCTTCCCCTAACCCTAACCCAAGTCTCCTACTCTACTACCACCATCTGCCGCTGACCAAATCTTCGTCTCACTTCATCCTGCCGACTCACCATGTTATGATAGTCATTCATCTGAGCTACCCACTTCTAATCTTAGCCATTATTCTCATCCTCTTCCCCTAACCCTAACTCAAGTCTCCTACTCTACTACTGCCACCTGCCGCTGACCAAATCTTCGTCCCGCCTCATCCTGTCGACCCACCACCATGATAGCAACACGCTACCACAGCAACACGCTACCACAGCAACACGCTATGACAGCAACGCCTCCATATCGTGACCATATAGACAACTGATCTCATCGATGACGATCCTCGCGACTGATGACCACATCCTTCCAACGACGACTACTAATGCTCGAGATCCGCCCGCTACCTAGAACCCTAACTCTAAACCCTAGTCAGCACCGCCACCATCTTATACCCTAACCCTAGCTAGATCCAAGAAAAAAAGATTTTGTTTTTGTTTTGATTCTTAGGCTGTTTACTTTGGTTTGTTGAGGAGCTTATGTACTTTGGTTGAGTAGTAAGATGTTTAATTTCTTTGAGGAGGGTCTTTTGTTTGGATTAGTTGTTGCATGATGGCCGATTCTAGCGAGATGAAGGTTGAGATGAAGATCGAGGTGAAGTTTTCTGATGTGATCACTTGTAAGATTACAGATCGAAAGTTAGCTGGTAACTACCTACAACAGAAACAAAGGATTGAGAGTTATTTGTATAGTTTAGGAAAGATGAATCACCCATCAGATGACCCTCCCACGCTGGTGACTGATGCATGGACATAGGACACTACCCTACTACATCAGGTTTTGAATGCAATGGAAGATAAGACTTAAGACTTGGTGCTACAATGTGAGATTGTTACGAAACTTTGGCTATTTTTTGGATTAGAATAGAGGGAGTAACAATACCAACAGAACTTATGATGTCATATAAGAGCTGTTTCGGAAGAAGCAGAACGGTCAACCGTTGGAGGATTATCATAGTGATTTCAATCGCTTGTCAAAGGAGCTTCATCAGATATTTTCGAGTATGTCTGACGTGAAGAAGATGTAGACGCAGTGAAAGCAGTTGGTAGTATTGACGTTTTTGGGAGGTCTTGATCCATAATACTCCATGTCTAGGCCTTAGATTGTGGGTAGATCAGTTGTGGGTAGATCAGCTCTCTAGCGGAGACATCACTATCTCCAGAAGGTGACCTTACCTCCTTCACTGACTCCTCCAGTAGCATCATCAAATAGTTCTAACATAGCTGCTCAGGAGAAGGGACAAGGTGACCACTTTATTAGTAAAGGAGGTCAAGGAGACCACCGCGTATGGCGGACAGTTGTTCGTGGTGGACAAGGGGATAACTCAGCTATATAATATTACTACTGTAAGAAGCCAGGACATACCAAATATTAATGCCCCTTCTTGTAGGGCAAATCAAGCCGGAGTGCCCATGTAGCTACATCTAAAGAGAGCGAACTCACTCTCCTTACACTTTTGACAAACAAGGAGACCAGGAGATAGTTTGAGAAGTTCCAGCTTCCAGTTTCAGTAGTATCAGCAGACATAGTCATCAACTGCTACAGCTACATTAGCTCAAACAGGTACTCTAATCGCTTGCCTTACATTATCTCTGTCTCATACTGGATAATAGACTCTAGGGCAACTAATCATATAACTGGAAGCAGATGTACATTATCATTCTTTAACCTAGTTTCTGATTCCTCATCATTTACCCCAGTTTCTGATTCCTCGTTATTTACCCTAGCAAATGGTTCTTAGACACCCGTCACTAGGGTTAGATCCTCATCTATTGAATTTGACTTTCCCTTATCTCTTATGATTTACTTGCCTCGATATTCATTTAATTTACTATCAGTTAGTCATATAGCTAGAGTTTTAACTTGTTTAGTATATTTTTTCCTATTCATTGTACTTTTTAGGCACTTGGAGTAAGGAAGATGATTGGCATAGGAAGTGAGCGCAATGGCTAGTATGAGTTAAGGTTGGCATCCAACCAAATAACCTGCATTAGCACTACATCAGCTTTTGACTACCACTATTGATTCAACCATCCATCTCTAACTATCATGGTTTTGAATATCGGCCGATAATCCGATATTATCGCCGAGTTATCGAATTTGGGAGCTTTCCGCTAAGATAAGTAGAATTTTTAATCGGTTATCGTTTTTCGCGGTTTATCGGCGATAAAGGCACTTATCGGCCGATAAATATGCTCTAAATATCGGTTTTATCGGTCGATAAATAGGATTTAGGAGCTTTTACTTTCTTTTGGATTTGTTCTTTAAATGTTTACAAATTATGAACTATTTGTTGCTTTTGGAACTTGGTTGATTAGTGATTAACTTATGTTTGTTTATGGATATTGATAATGGCTCATAACTACTAAATATCAATTTAGTAAGTTTATAAATCTCATAATTAAACAATAATTATGTAGATGCGTAGATAATTCTTCATTCTTGATGTTATCTTATTATTTGCTTATTTATTATTCCATTTTGACTAATATTATATTTTTTTTCAAGCTTATGTTTGTTTATTATTTGTTAGTATATTACTCCGATAAATACTACTTATCCCCGATATATCCACGATTTTTGCTATCCGATATAGATTTTGACCGTCCGATAAATCCCCGATAACCAACATTTAAAACCTTGTTAAACTTCCAGTTCCCTCTTTGGGTAGTGTTTAGTCGTTAGAGTATGAGTCATTTCAACTAGGGTAGCATCATCGTATTTCTTATTCTGTTGGGTTAATAAGAGGGCTACTAGCCCGTTTGATTTAGTTCATTCAGATATTTAGGGTCTATGTCTTATAGTGTCAAAACTTAGATTCAAATATTTTATTAGCTTTGTGGATGATTTTTTTAGAGTTATATAGATATATTAAAATCTTGTTCTGAGGTATTTTTAATTTTCAAAGTTTTTTGTTCTGAGATTAAAAACAAATTTAACACTAATATAAAAAATTTGAGAATTGACAATGCTAAAAAATATTTTGATAAATCTTTCACTCGATTTTTAGAACATAATGAAATTTTGCATGAATCCTCTTGTGTTCATACCCCTAGCAAAATAGGCTGTTAAACATAAAAATCAACATTTGATAGATGTTGCTCGCCCCCACTTGTTTCATAGACATGTTTAGAAAGAATTTTGGGGAGATGCCATTTTGACAGCATTTTACTTGATAAATCGCACGCCTTCTTCAACTTTGGACAATAAAATTTCATACTCAATTTTACACCCTCATAATGACATATTTTCTCTTCCACCTAAATTTTTTGGATCCTAATGCTTTGTTCACAATTATAGCAAAGCTAAAATTCGCGGTCCCTCAAAAATATCTTTCTTGGTTAGTCTCACGCTCAAAATGGTTACAGATGTTATTTCTGATCTCTAAATTATGTTTTATCAGCAGATGTCACCTTCTTTGAATCTCTATCTGAACATGCACCTTCTTTTCCTTCCACTTCTGGGGATGATTATGATTACTTGATTAATTATAAAACACAAATCATCATTAGTTAGTCTAATTCTGATGCAGTACTTAACTCAATCATTTGTGTTTGAGAAGCCTCTTGAAGTTTACATACATCATTGTGCACCTACTTCTTTGCTAGTGTCAACCTCAATACCAAGTCCTAATTTACATTCAAGTGGGACTGTTACATTTACCTAGTACCATTATTACTGATAATATCCCTATCATTCTTCGCAAGAGTAAGAGATACTACACTCAATATCTGATTTTTAATTTTATCTCTTACTCTCACTTATCATCTTCACATCAGTCTTTTGTATTTTTTTGTATTCTCACTCTGTTCCTAAGTCTGTTTCAGAAACCCTATCTATTCCAACTTGGATTTAGGTGATGAAATATAAGGTGACAACCCTCGAGTAGAATGATACTCAGGATCTGATTACTCTTCCTCCGAGGAAAAAATTGTTGGCTGCAAATGGGTTTGCACTCTCAAATTAAACCCTAACTACTCTCTTGGTCGCTTGAAGGCAAGATTGGTTACAAAATGGTATTCTCATGTGTATGGGCTTGACTATCTTGATGTCTTCTCTCTTGTTGCAAAGACAACTTCTGTACGAATTCTAATCTCATTAGCTATGATATTTCACTAGCATCTTTAACAATTGGACATCAAGAATGTTTTCTCAACGACATCCTTGAAGATGAGGTTTATATGTAGCAACCACCAGGTTTTGTTGCTTAGGAGGAGTATAGAAAGGTGTGTAAGCTGAAAGAGTCACTTTATGGCTTGAAACAGTACCCTAGACAATGTTACATTAAACGCTGGGCGTTCCTAAGCACCGGACTTAGCGTCCAATGCTTAAACGTCTAGGCGGACACCTAAGCGGTTTCTGATCGTTTTTTTTCTTTTTTAATTGTGATATTTGAATATAAATATATATACTCAATCAAAAATGCATAAATACAAAAATACCAACACATATGTTATCCAAACTATAATAGTCAATCAAAGATTCATACATACTAAATAGCAAGGCATATAATATCCCATAACTAAAAGTTTAGGTCCCAAAATATCAGCAAAAAGACCATCAAACAGGAATAGTCTAGATCTAATATAATGAATTAACAATATGCATCTAATCTAATCTTATCATCAAGCATCATCATCATGACTTAACGTGTATATATATCAAATGTAACATTAGTTTTCCAACAATCCCAGTTAAAGTTTAAAGGCCCATAGACAAGCACCAAGGTGAAACTTTGTAAGGAATATGTGCCAAAATAATGAATGCAGGTATCTCTTTATAGTTACTAAAGATTTCTAGCTTTTTCTTCAAATGGGTTTTTATAACACCAAATAACAAATGAAGTGCAACACAAATTTGCACAGTTATTTAAAAGAAAAAAAATCCCTAAGTTTCCATTTCTAGTAAAGACAGATGGAAAACATAGGCATCATTTTTAACACTATAACTTGAACTTAAATTTAGTTGTTAACTTAAACTTAAGTTTACTAATTACTGTGGTAACTGTACATTGTTACAGAGATTGGGGAACCTAAGCTTAAGTTTATAATTACAGAGATCGGGAAGCTTCCGCGTATACTAACTTAGTAACTTAAATAGATATTTAAATAGATATTTAAGAATTTTCTATAAACTAACTAATTACTTACAGAGATCGGGGATCGAAGAAGAGGCCTGAGATCGACGGAGGTGCTCCAAGAGGCGTCAAAGAGGATCTGGGAAGCTTCAACGGCGTCGGCAAAGCTTCGAGAGGTGTCGAGACTCGAGAGGCGTCGGCGAAGCTTTGAGAGGCAACGAGAGGCGTCAAGAGGCGTCAGCGAAGCGTCGAGAGGCATCGGAAAGCTCCGAGAGGCGTCGGGAAGCAAAGACGAGGTCAACAAACTTTCTCGTGGTGAACATGGTTTCGAATTCATGGCAGCGTCGGGAAATTTTGACAAAAATTAGGGTTTTCACGACACTTATCAGTAAGTTGGGTTTAGGTTTAGTTTTTGGAAATGGGTTTGGGTTTGTTTTCAGCACCGTTTGTTTTGTTTTTTTTTAAGTCGGGCGGGCCGTTTAAATAGCCCGCTTAGGTCTGGGCGACCGTGTAAGCGCTCCCAGCGCCTAAATTCCTCCGCTCAAGTCATTTTGAGACGCTTGGGGCACCGCCTCCGCCTAGGCGGTCGCCCAGGGTGTTTTTTAAAACACTGATCCTAGAGCATGATTTAGGTGTTTTACATTAGCTGTTCAGAACTTTAGTTATTGTCGAGCACAGAAAGACCACTCAGTATTTTAGCGAACTCATGTAGAGAAGAGAATTCTCTTGTTGGCATATGTGGATGATATTCTGATAACGGGCGATGATATACATGAGATTGAAAGCCTGAAGAAGGATCTACAGTAGCATTACCACACAAAGGATCTTGGTTCCTTAAAGTACTTAGATATTGAAGTTGCCAAATCCATAAAGGGCATTTTTCTATCACAGAGGAAATATGTCCTTAAAATGCTTTTAGAGATAGATATGTTATAATGTACAATTGTTAACACTCCGATGGATGTGAAGATTAAGCTATTACAAGACCTAGGGCAGCTTTTGGAGGATGCTAGGGTATATAGGAGATTGGTGGGAAAGTTAAACTACCTAATAGCAGTGTTTTAAATATCGGCGATATATCGGGTATCATCGGTGATATATCGGATTTTTAAGCTTGCCGATAGGATAACTTGATTTTCTAGTCGGTTATCGTTTTTGACAAATTATCGGCGATTTATCGCCGATAAAGGAGAATATCGCCCGATAACATAGGTTTTTATTATCGGTTATCGCTGTGGCTGGTGATTTGAGTGAGGTTGTTGAGAAATTAAACCCGACCCGACCCGTTTTCACAATAAAATGAAAACTCAACCCCCTTCGTGAATCCATACCTTCTGCCCTAAATCTCTGGCGGCTATTCTCCAGCAAATCTTCATCGCCTCTTTGTCGCTTCTTCATCCTCACCTCTTCGTCGCCTTTTTCTCCAGCAAATCTTCATCGCCTCTTCGTCGCGACAAATCTCTTCGTCTCCTCTTCGTCCTCGCCTCTTCGTCACCTTCAAGCCCTAAATCTCTAGCGACTGTTCTCAGCGAATCTCCAGCGAATCTTCCGCACGGGTTTCCTCTTCGTCACCTCGACTTCGTAAATCTCCAGGAACCTTGGTCTCGCCTTCGTTTTGTGTTTTCTGTTTTTCTGTCGGATGTTTGCTATTTTTTTAAGTTGATTGGGTGTTGTTATTTGAGACAGATAGTATTACTTGTATTACTGTTTATAGATATTTGTTGTGAAACTTGTTATGGCTTGTGAGACTATTACTGTGACTTATTCATTTGTTTATCTCAATATAAGTTTTTTTAACTGCAACTAATTTTTAATCAATATAAGTTTTTTCACTGCAATTAGTTTATAGAAAACTTGTAATTAATTTTAAGAAAATACTTGTGTGTATAAGAAAATTTAATTGTAATTACAATTAAATTTGAGCAATTAGTTTTAACTGCAACTAATTTTTCAATGCAACTACTTTAGCTAATTATAAGTTTATAACTCGGTCAATAATCTCTGAGTTTCGTCGAATCAATGTTCACTCTTCACTGCGACTAATATTAATTAGTTTTACAACTTAAATCTGCAGATAGTTTACAATTGCTATTTTAACTTGTCTTCCTCTATTCCTTATTTCATTCCTTGAAATCTTGATGTGATTTTGATCTCAAGTCTGCAACAAAATAGAATTGACTGATGTTAGGCATAAAATTTTATGACGTGATAAATAAATAAAATAAATATACAATTGTGCAATTGTGTTTGCTATTTTATTTTTAAACTTGTGTTCACGGATATATATATATATATATATATCATCCACTATATCACTCCGATAATTACTACTTATCTCCGATATATCCCCGATTTTCGCTATCCGATAAGGATTTTGACAGTCCGATAAGTCCCCGATAACCGATATTTAAAACCTTGCCTAATAGTAACCAGACCATATATTACATTTACTTTTAGTGCAGTTAGTTTCTTTTGACATTGAGAACGACTCATTTGGAGGCTATGATGAGAATTTTCAGATATATGAAGAAAGCTCTAGGAAAGTAAGAAACAAAGTGTCGTTTCTCGATCTAGTGCAGAGGCTGACTATGGAGCAATGGCAAACATAACTTGTAAGTTAGTATCGCTTAGAGACCTTTTCACAGAATTGGTTTTCCTCCTAAATGCCCTCTAAAATTATATGCTGATAACAAGTCCGCTATACACATTACTGAGAATCCTGTGTTCCATGAGAATAACAAACATATTGAGATTGATTATCATCTAATTCATGAGAAGATGAACAGAGGAATTATTTTGACTAAGCATGTATTGTTAGAGAATCAGCTTGCAGATATTCTCGCTAAATCTCTCAGGAAGGTACAGGTAGATTTTATTTGTGACAGGCTAGGACGTACAATGCATATGCTCTACCTTGTGGGGGAGCATTGAGAGAGAGTTAATTAATACTTAGTCCTACATTGGTTATGTAATAATTATGTAAAACTCTCCTATTATAAATATAGCTGAATAGAGGAGAGAAAATCATTTCCTTTTTTATTGATTATTAATTTCTACACTATTATATTTTTCAGGATCTTTGGATTAAGACAAGGATCAGTTTGAGTTGCGAGGGAGAAAGCATGTACTACTTAGACGATAGCGTGGCAAAGTCTATTCTTGATACAGATCTTTTGGATATGCAATACAATAGCATTAATTCATTTGGTATTGACTATCAGGTCCTCTCTTTTATCTCTAGAGTGTTAGTCGCGTCAATTAGAAAGCATCATCATTCTTGCTAACCTAGTATAGTCAATAAGCATAATAGTTGTCTTTAAGTTAGTTCAGGTTGATGTTTGGGGTCCATGTCGATTTCCTTCTTATGTGCATGTCGATTTCCTTCTTACGTGAGGAATTAGGGGTTCTATTTTTTAGTGGATGACTTCTCTTGTATGACTTGACTTTGTTTACTAAAAGAAGGGTTTGAAGTTGTTGGTCTAATTGAACTTTTCATAATGAAATTAAAACCAGTTTTCTACTTTCATTCATACTGATAATGCTTCGAGATATATAAAAAATAAAGTTACCCAATTTTTTGCCACTAATGGGATTATTCATCACAACTTTTGTCCACGCACAACACAGCAAAATGGTTGGTTGAATGGAAGCATAAACATGTTTTAAATGTGGCTCGCATTTTAATGATTCATATTCATGTCTTGAAGTATTAATAGTTTGATGTTGCCTCGTGCGCATGCCATTTGATTAATAGGATGCCCTCTTTGGTTCTTTATGCGAAAATTCATTTCTCTTATATTTTTCTTGACAACCATTTTTTTATGTTTTCTAGACTTTTTAGTGTTCTTGTTTTGTTCAAAATATGCGTCCTGATCTAGATAAACTGCCTCCTCAGTCTATCAAGTGCATTTGCTTAGGGTACTCTAGAATACAAAACTAGCATTGGTGTGATCCAATATCTTAAAAGTATTTTTCTACAGACATTACTTTCTTTATATTTGTTCCATATTTTTCATTTGTATATGTACAGGGTCGCCTCATGCCTCTGTTCCTCTCCCTCAGCGGCTATTGCTTGATCCTTTTACCCTCACTCACCCAGTGTCGAGTTAGAGCTAAAAAAAATTTCCAGCAAACTAGCCCTAGTGTACATTAGAAGCCCAGAAGTATCTACAGTTTCCTTACATCTGAATGATCATTTGTCTACACTCTACAGCTAAAGGTCTTACCTATTACAAATCATCTGCTATCTCTAGCATCAATGTCTCTATTACTCTTCAATAAGGTCAACGATCTAGTGCCACTAATTTTATGTCTCGTTTTGTCTTTTTATAGTTGCCTTACCCCCATTATTTTGCTAATTTTCTCAATCCTTGTCTTTTTTGTTTCCAAAACCCAGGTCTTATTTGGAAATTTTGTTTGTACCTACCTAGAAGTAGGCTATGGTTGAGGCGACTGATGCACTTGTTTATAGGAGGACTTAGGATGTAATTCTCACTCCTTATGGGACATGTATTATAGATTGTCGCCGAGTCTTCAGTGTAAAATACCGACTCAACTGTTCTGTGGACAGACACATCCAGTGCTAAGACATCTCCTATTGCTCGTCTCAACTACATTCATATCTTATTCATTATTGTTGCTAATCTAAACTAGCATGCGTTTCAGCTAGTTATGAAGAATGCCTTCTTGTATGGTGGCCTTCAATCAAGTAATATCTTGTGTAGGTTTTTAGCAGTGTCATTCAGATCACTTTGTGTTTATTCACTACTTCAAAGACAGTGATCTTGGTAGTGTACGTTGATGATATTTTGCTGACTAGGAGTAATACAAATGGTTTGGAAAAAACCTAAGAGCATCCCAAGCATCATTTTCAATCAAAGATAGGAGAAAGTCGAAATACTTTCTTAATTGAAGTTGTTTGTTAGAAACAGTGGTTACTTCTCTCCTACAGGAGACTAATCTTCTAGGTTGCAAACCTGTCGGCACCTTGATGCAAGCAAATGTGAACTTTTTAGGGCGAGGGAAGTGGCCTTTTTCAGCACACTAGAGTTTAGGAGGCTATTGGCATGTTGATTAATGTTATAGTCATAAGACCTATGTAGCCTTTGGTATGAGACTTTTGAGTCAGTATATGCACATGCCTAAAAAGGTTGACTCGAGAGCAGCTATGACGATTCTTGCCTACGTAAAGCTCTCCTAGAAAGGGCTTACTGTAGAAGAAGCAAAGACCTATATTACCTAGGTATTTCTATCTGAAGTCATACTCATACCTGAGACATACCCATATCTGTATCTGTACTCCAACTATGTAGATACTCCTAGCATATATGCGTACATTTTCGGGCATGTACTCAATTATCTAATACATGTTTTAATTTAAAACAATTGTAATACACTTCTTGAATGTATATCTTACATTTCACATCTACTTTCTGAAACTCGTTTGATATAGGTCGGAATCTGAACTACAATTCTAAAGGATCATTTGGGTGTCTAGCTAAAAATTAAGCGGTTTTCTAATTTATAATCCACATAAATAAAAAATATATAAAAAATATTATAAAAATTTCAATTCTCCTAACATGTAAATAAACAACAATATTGATATGATGTAAATTATTAATTTCAATATTAAAATATAAGTGTATAAATATTTATATAGTGTCCTAATACCCTACATTTTACAAATTTGTCATGTCTCATATTTGTACCCATACTGGTACTAATACCTGTTTCGATTCAACATAGACATTGACATTTGCAAAACTCTGATTATTCAGACTTAAACTATGCTGGAGATTAGGGATAGAAAGTCTTAGCACTGAATATTGTACTCTTGTTGGTCATAATCTAGTAACTAGGAGACGTAACATGTAAGAAGTGGTATCGTCTAGTGCAGAGGTCAAAGATAGAGCGATGGCTCCCATGTATTACGATAATCAGACTGCTCTATATTGCAAAGATTCATGTCTATCATGAAAGCACGAAGCCCATAGGTATTGGTTATTATTTGATTAAGGATGTTGTAATGAAGGAGGTGATCTGCACTCTATTTACTCCGTCTTCAAAAATGGTTAACAGATATTCTCACCAAAGTTGCTTCTTCTAAGAAGTTCTACGTTTTTAGCAATATAGGCATTGATAAAGATCTATGCTCAAGCTTGAGGGGGGCGTCAGATTTAGCGTGGTTTAGTAACTATATTAGTGGGTATGAACCCGCATCTAATTAATATCCAGTTGCATTCTTATATATTACTTTCCTCTAATCTATAGTAGTTTACCTCAATATTTCATATCAAGATGTAAATGCAGAAGGGATCTCGTAGAAAAGAAAATTAAAAGGGACAATGACAAAGTGACAGAGAAATAAGACTGAAGGGCTGAGAGACGCAATCTTCATGATGAGGAAGATGAACAGGGTAACAAACTAGATGAAGCTACATGTTCTGTGCCAATTACGATAAACATTTTTAAGCAGTGGCTTAGTGCAAAGCACATAAAGAAGATCATTAACGAATACGAAGGCTTGCAAAAATTACTTAACTTTAATAAAATCAAGGATTAGAGTAAATAAAAAAATATGTGAAACAAACTATTTGACATATGATTGAGAGAGCATAAAGGATAAAAAATGGGTAAGTTAATATGTGTGAGTGTGCGTTGCTTTGCCAGTTTTATGGTCATCTTGGTCAGAACTTTGGCCTAATTCATAGAATTTTGGTGCTTTGGGTATAAATTTGTCTAACTTGGAAAAAGTTGGATAGCTCATTTCTAGTGCTCTCATGCTCCGCGCCCACGAACTCGTTGGTACAGTGTAAGTTGTGAGATCCACTGAGTGCAACTTATTGTTTGGCTTTATCCACTGCCAAAAAAAGTGATAGCACCGGTTGCACATGACTCCTTGGACTTACATTAGAAACCATTTAATCTCTAAATCAATATGCAATGTGGGACTATGTTTTGCGGGTATTACAAGTGCCTTGTTGTATTAAACTCAAAAAACTTGTAGTCACTTTGTTCCTCAAAACCAGACTCTGGAACTATGCTTTCTAAAGAATAACCATTGGCAGCTTTCCAGAATTCATTATGGTCAATATGTTCTAACTGTTAATCAGAAATCAGAATGTTAATATCATAATGATATTTACTTCAAATTAAGACAGAGAGCTCACCTGATTGCGATACACCAAGTAAGCAAGTAAAAAGTAAACCAGCAAGAACGGTAATATTAGAGGCGCTAATACTGAGTATGTGAAACCAATCAGGCTAAGAAGGAGAACTCTCGGAACTTCAGTGTAGTAAGGAAAGGATAGCACAGATGGATCATCGTCACTTATACCCAGAGTTCTCTTAATAAAGTTACAGATGAGAGGGAAAATTTGTAGAAGTTCAGCAGATAAACTGGCCCATCCTGATGTTAGAACATAAGTAATGAAAAAAGCTGCCTGCATCAAAGAATGGGTAAGCCATCAGAAGAGAAACCTTTTCAGAGATATCACTTGAAGCGTCTATAAAGGTTTTGGAAGAGTCCATAATGAGTAACTGCTTTATGTCATGCCGAAGTTAAATGCAATTGCGAAAAACAAATAAAGGATGTAGAAAAGGATGTGACAAAACATACAAAGTAAGCAAAGTTACTAATACTCAAGTAAAGCTTCCCAACAGGACATTTATATTATTGAGAACAAACAAACAGTTGAAAGTTACGAATCAAGATAAAGCAGATAGAGAATCCTATAAACTGTAATATGGGCATAATATAACAATTACCTGTCCTGGTAATAATTTAGCAAGCATTGTGGGAATGTCGGTTGGAGCTGATACGAGATTCCTAATGAAAGATGCGGAAAAACAATTCATAAAGAATACATTCCAGATGGTGAAGTACAATACTTTGCCACACGCACTTTTCCTTTTGCCACTGTGGGATATGCATCCTTCAAAACGAGAAAGTAGCATCATCACTGGCGGCACAGTGTAAAGGGCTAGCATTAAAAGAACACTGGGAAGGTAGCCTGTTACAATCTGGATCAAGAAGGACCTGCACAACATTATACAGTAAATTCCCAATATGGCTTTTGCTGCCCTGAAAATCGAAATATTAATTTAAGACAATCAAGAAGATGTTGGTAGAAAAATTTGTGCTTTGTCTTTGTGAACATGCACATGAGGCCACAGACATCCATAAAACAAGTATTAGAGATTTAATTAAAAAAATGTTGAGGTTCAATCATAATAATAACTTTTCTAATTTCAATCAGGAAAGATCCTACCAAAAGTGGAGCAATTTTTAGACAGTTTATTTCAGATTCTATGGACAACTTGCATCCTGAGTAGCTTCTGCTAATCCTTTCATCTTTAAGGGAACCTAATAGTGAACCTCTTTGATCCAGCACATTTTTGTAGCCTTTTTGCTGAAAAACTTCATTTCTTTTGTTATTTTGGCCTCTAATCTCCAATCCAAATTTCTGAAATTCTTAGAATTAATATTGTAGTTTATAATTATGGGGTGCCTAGATAGTGTTTTGTAAGAGACATACAACATGAGGTCTATGTCATAATGGATCATTTGAGAAAGTTCTAGCCTTCTAGGCTTGTAATCTCCAAAATGTAATAAACCGTTCTTTTTTATACTATAGGGGTTTACTTTAAGATTGAGGATGTTAAGAATAGAGAAAACTATGTTTATTGCACTTCATAATAGCATGGTTGTGATATACTACACATTACTTGTTATACAGGATAAGCACAGTAGTTACATATGATAAGAATATATCTAAGCATATCTAACTATAATAACAATAATATCTAAATATTTCTAACATCCCCTCTCAAACTCATATCAATGAAAACAGTGAGTTTGAATAAGAAAACAAGTAAAAAAGAGAAATGTTTGGGCCTCAGAGTCGAAGCGTGGCAATAAGACTTCTAAGATAGGAATCCATTGATATTGATGAAGAAAAGCCCAATGGCTGTAGATCGATGGTGCATGATAGGAATAAAGAAAACTATGTTCACTGATCTTCAATTAGGCATGTCTGTGATATCATATATAACAAACACACAAAAACACACGCGCGGGCCCACACTAACTAGTTGTAACACAGGAAAAGCACGAGTAGTTACATAGGAAAATAATATATCTACCAGTAATAGCAATAATATTTAACGCTAACAGAAGATAACCATTTGGATCGACAACTAAACACCGTCTCGGTTAGTGCGTTGACTGGTGGAGTTGTATTACTGATTTAAGGTGCCTTGTTTTCCTTAGACGTGTTAGTTTGTAGAACCTTTATTCTCGAGATATTGAGATCATTCACTTGGATGTGATACTTGCCTTCCCTTGCTAAATTCTACATTGTAGATATTGTTCCTTTTAATAAAACTTTGTAGGTCATGACCCACAATGCTAACAATTCTCCAGTTCTCATTGATGGTTCTCCAACTATCATAAGTTCCTGTTTCATATCTTGATTCTCATAGAGATGGACATGCAAGTACTAAATAGATTGAATTTAAATTTTGTAAGTGACACTAGGTAAGTATTTGTTCATTGTTTTGAAACATAATTCTGTTTATGCTCAATGAGTTCATTGTATAGTGCAAACTAATTGTATCTATCTGATACTCATTGCTTAGTCATGTGAGAAAATTGTCCTTCATGATTTTAGGCAGGAGCATATTTGGTATCCTGTGTCACCTGAGATAATGAGGTGGTGAAACATGGGGATGTGATAGTTGTTTAAATTCTATTGTGGTGTGTTCTACAATTGCATTCAATAATATACACCACCCACCACACAAGTATTTCGAGTCCACAGCTAGTATTATTTTCTCAAACACCTCTATTGGAACTAACAAAATTTAAAAGGGACAGGAGGAAAATATCTAGCCATTTCTGTTATCCTTGTTATTTTATTCACAATTACTTTGCATAAACCGTCATAGTTTTGCAGTTAATGAACTTGCATCCCACTCAATACTTCACGTGCATTCCTAGAATAGCGAGCCTCTGATCTACTCAATACAAATCAGGCTTTCGTAGGTCCATTAGGGTTATCCGTTCGGTTATCCTAACTTGGATATTGTCTCTGTAATTGTGCCACATTCTTTTACTCTGTATGATCTTTTGTTAGAAAGAAAGTCTAAGGCCCCTTATCAGTCGTTATAATAATCTATTCTTGATGATAGTTTTTTGTCAAGTGAAGGAGTTAACCCTTTATTAAGTAGAGTTTGGCCCAATTGGATTATAAGCCCATTAGTTCTCTGTGGTGCATAAATCCAATCCTTACTCTTTATTCTATTTTATAATCCTAGTCTAGTTAGTACTTTAATCCTATCTCTAGTTAAAACAATTACTGTTAAAATTTTTACTGAATCCTATGTGTGAGATCTTGGCCACCTTATGTGCATGTTTGCACAAGAGCCCCTCTACTTTTCATATTTACATATCTGGCCATAACTTTATATGTGTGCAAGCAAAATTATTCGTCCTCACCTACCCACTTTAACCAACGACTATAGCCGAACCCAGCTATATGCATAGTTGGATATGAAACCAAATTAGGTTATTTCATAGAAACACTTTTAAAGGTCATTTTATATAAATCATCTTTGACTTTCAATTTATATATAAATCACCTTTAATTTTTTTTTTTGTTGCAATCAAACACCTGGGCCCACTTTTAAGTCAAGTTTTTTCGATTTTCCTTAGTCATCAAATATCAAGTATATTAGAGAGATGGTCCACGATCGAGGATAGATGGGGTCAATTATCAAAAAAAAAGTTAACTAAAAAGTGGGCCTAAGTGGTTCATTGCAACAAAAAACACTTTAAAGATGGTTTATGTATAAATTCAAAATAAAAGGTGATTTCTATAGATTGGCCCTATTTTAAAGGTGGTTTCTATGAAAAAAACCCTACCAAATTTTAATTCATCTAACAGAGTATATATCATTATAGGACTCAATCCTATACATGCCTACCACTAACAAATTTTACGCTTAAAAGAATTCCATCTTGTGGACCTTACTAAGATCTCAACCTTTTCAATACCTAACCAACCTAATCACTTGGATTGAGAATCCAATTATATAATGACAAAGCTAGTTGTCATATAAGATGTCTCGGAAACTTAGTTACCCTATAAACAAATGAACATTCTCTTTTTTCTGTGCAGCAAACTCTGATTTTAAGTTAACCTCCAACTCCAATCCAATTCAATCTTATGCCCAACCAAAGCCTCTAGCGCTATAAATATAGATCTACAAAATAATTATCTGAAAACCTTTTTCCTCAAGCTTCTTTTTCCCTGCCATCTCTTTTTCTTGTTGTTCAAAAATAGAGAGGGAGAGAAACGCGAGAGAGAGAGAACCTCATTTTCTTCATCTTGTGCACATGGAGATCAACGACAACAACCAAACCCTAGATTTTGATTTTAAAATTAAATCTTGCTAGATGTGAGGACAAACCTCTTGAAGTAGGAAAAATACAAAAAAAAGAGCTGTAGAAGTATTGCCTTGATAGATCTTATTTTTCAAACTTGAAAGTTTTAAAATCCTGTGAAAGTCAACTCTCACCTTTCTAAAGTCAACTTTGATGAGTTAAAAGCCGACTGCACATCCATGCAAATCAACATTCTACAGATCAGCTTTTAGCTTTCTGGAATAAGGGTCTAAAGTCGTCTATGATTTAGCCAAAGTCGACTTTGGCACTCCAAAGTCGACTATGCCTTTTACCTAAGTCGACTTTCACATGCATATCCTCAGTTTAGCTTTTGAGTTGTCGTGACAAGGAACAGATTCTGATTGAATTTGAAACTAAAATGTCGTTGGAAAATGGATAGGATAATCGGCAAAAATGAATGAAGTATACGGGTTTACAATAGCATCTGAATTGTGTTGATGAACAATGGCTTCTCTTTTTTCAAATCTTTTAAAGAAATCTAAGATAAAAACAGATAAATTAGGATAGACCGGCTTCACTCACAGCATCTAATCTTACACACCTTGAGGAATTACTCTAAAATTCTCACATAACTATAATTTTATCCATCAATCAATGTTCTTTCCTCATGGAGGATACAACTTATTTATAGAATAAACATAACACTAAAGATAACATCAATCACCTAAATCATATCTAATGAAATTGAAAATATTATCCTAACCAAATAAGTAACAAAAATATCTTAAAAATGAACTCTTAAACTACAAATCCATATCAACTAAAATAAAATCTTCTAAATAAAATCCGAACTAAATTAATAAATAAAATCAACTCAAATCTCCCCTTGTTAGAGAAAACTCGACTTCAAGTTTTATAAAGGAAGAGTATAAAATTCCTTCAATCGATGTGTAGTATTGTTGTATGCACTGCAATATCTTTAAAATTATTTGCATAAATCAATAACATGTAGGTGGAGGATTTTGAATGACAACTCTATTATCAAATTAATATAGATAGGTAGTATCTCGAACTGCACTTCAAATTAATATAGATTGGTAGAATCTCGAGCTGCACTACAACTTTGAACTCGGGCTTTGGGTTTGATTCAAACTCAGGTTCTGGTTTAACCTTGAGCTCAGTCTTTAGTTCGGGTTCGGGTTCAAGTTCAAGTTCATGCCTTGAATCTATCTTCTGATTTTCTTCTTCTAGATCTTGTTTAGATGCGGGCACTAGAATGGTTTTATGATCTGGTTCATGTTCCAAATCCAGTTCAAGTTCCACTCGATTTTGGTGTCGGCTCCGATTTTGACTCTGGATTTGACATGAGTTCATATTGTAGATCCACATCTTTAAGGGTCTTGGGCACTTTTGTCTTGGGCTTTGAAGAAAAATAGTAATGTTTTCTAATTCTAGTTTGATAACTACAATATCTTTTTTCAAGTAGAAACTTTATTGGTGTCCATGAACATATATATGACTATATGACTAGAATAATTGTAAAACCACTAATCCTGAGCTTCTCCATTTAGCCTACACTTAGCATACATCCCCCAATTCGACAAATCATGAATAGTAAATAAATTTTCTAAGTCTTGCATCCAAAGCTCAAAATCATATATTTCTTCATATCCATCAAATCCATAAAAATAAGACACATTTTTAAATTTCAATGGATTAAATTCAAGTTGTTGTGACAGTGGAAGTGGATATTTAGCCATGATTATCGTGAACCGCTGAACTTGCTATGATACCAATAAACGGAATCGGATTCTGATTGAATTTAAAATTGAAAAATACTGTTGGAAAATGGACTAGATAATCGGCAAAGATGAATGAAAAGTACCAGACGTAGAGTGTTAGTAACCCCTCTTTTTTTCCAAGTTCTTAAAATAAATCTAGGTTAAAAAAGAGATAAATTAAGATAGGCCGGATTCACTCACAACACCTAACTTATGAATAAATGACTTCACGTCTTAAGGAATTACTCCAAAATTTTCACATAACCATAATTTTATTCATCAAGCAATGTCCTTTCCTCATGAAGAATACAACTTATTTATAGAATAAACTTAGCACTAAAGATGACATCAAATCATCTAAATCTTATCTAATAAAACTGAAATTATTATCCTAACCAAATATCTAACAGAAACAATTAGTAAGATAAACTCTCAAATTGCAAATCCATATCAACTAAATTAAAATCTCCTAAATAAAACTCAAACTAAATTACCAAATAAATCAACTTAATCTTATCTTGCCCTACATTTTGTCATTTGACCCTATAACTTTTACATACACGATTGTATGTCTTAAAACTTTAGACACACGTTGGTATGAACCTTTTGAGTGCATCAAATGCTCATTTGGGTATTTTAATTTACACATTCTAATTTTCCACAGTTGAATAAAAGATACACATGCAAATAATCGTGAGTCATTTCATGCTCTACAGTCTACACTTATTCTAGAGTTTAAAATCTCACCAAATGACTTCATCTGCTTCAATCGGTGATTAATTATGAATTTTGTCTATAACGATTCACTGTGAGTGTAATTACCCTTTCACCCTAATCAATTACACATGCAACCATAGACTATAAGAACCATAATACCGGATTTTGTCACAATCAACATGGTAGGCTTTTAGCTGAGTTAGTGGATGGTGCTAGAAGGATAAACATACTACCATTTAGGTTGTGGTTTGATGAGAAAAGACAACATGGTCGCCTTTACATGAGTCTATTAATCTACCTCCTAGGATTTCTAAATTGTACACTAAGTGTTGGGTTTAGAATATGAGATGTTCATGTGTGGAGGCTACTCCCTACATGGCTTGATGCTGGATTCTCTGTTGAACAACTAGTTGTACGATTTAGAAAGACCGGGATTAGATAATATTGTGTGTAATCAAATTAAAAGACATTTTGCAAATTGGAATTTAATGGGGAAATTGAGTGGTAATATGTTTTTGTTAAAGGCATTTAATTTTTATTTTGGTCATTTTCATTTACTACTTTACTTTTGTTCAGTAACTCCCACTTAGGGAAAAATCTGTAATATTTATCGTCTGCCTTAAATAAAGTTTATTATTACCCAATTTCATATAACCTTAACATACAAGTGTGCAAGGACTCTGAAATTTTATGTGCATGTTTGTATGTGTTGTTGTTGTCAATGTAGTTTACTATTGACACTTTTCATAAGTGCACGACATGCTTGACGAATGATATTATTATGTGGTCCTTGGTAAAAATGCGTTTAACTGTAGATATGGAGGTAGTTAGATTTAGCATAGTTTTAATTGCAAGTTTGCAGACAATTACCTCTACTATTCTCATAAGAAATACATGTTGAATAGAAACCCCTAGTCTTGTATAAATATAGAATATCAGCTCAACGCCTTAGATGTGACTTTATCATCAAACTATTTATGCATTCATCCTTCAGTGCTCCTATTCGTTTCTTTCTTTGCATAACATTGTATATCTTCATCTTTTATCACTTACCGTCTATTTGAGCTTATCTTCCATTCTTTTTATTGTTTGTTTTGTGGATTATAATCGTCCACAAGTCTGTCGTTTGAATTTCATTCCTTTGGCGATACTTACTGAATCGAGTTTGATGATCGCTAGTTTGTTTCCTGTCTCCAGGCGGTTGATGCTAGCCAGTTATAAGTCTAGATTAGTTAAGGACAAAAAATGAAAAGGTAAAGAGGGTTTTACGATTGTTCAAGTTTTTGTTTTGTTTTCCACATTTAAATCTTTTCTAAATGATATTTTGCATAATTAAATAAAATATGTAGAATAATAATAGGCCTATAACATCGTTTTAGTGAATCCATCATTAAAGTGGTGCGTGCCACCCTAGTCACGTGCAATTTAGGTCGAAGGACATAGAAGCAAATTATCTTTAGATAGTGATTATTTTAGTCAGTGCTCTAGGACTGGGTACTCCAGTTGTTATATATGAGTATGTTGACTTCAACTTTGAAATGGTGACTTGACATAGTTATCAATATTTGTATGAAATTTGAGAGATTTAAATGAATGAAGTTGGTAAACAATTAGGTACCTAATCTTTCGTAGCTATTACATTATTGCATGTGATTATGAATTTTTATACACACAACGGATGAGCTATATCCATATCATAGGTGTTAAGTTTTGTTATTTTCCAAAGGGAATACAAACTAGATGATCACCCTTGTTTCAAGGCGTGACAGCTTCAGTGGTTAATTGCAGAGACACACTTGGAAAAAGAAGGGAGGGATTGGGTTGTTGTTGGGCTTTCTTGCAAAGTTACTTTTTATTTAGTTACAAAGTTAGCACCAATTATCAAAGATTGAAATGACGGTAATATCTTGAAACTTGGCCTACTTTTTTTTGGCACCTTTATCAACTTCAAGTTCTACTTTATTCTTTATCCCCAATTTGGTGGGCAAAATATAAGATGGTAGTCAATCAATCATAGTCTATATTCGAAACTCATCAAGCTAAATGTGTTCAAGCTAGTTGGTTCAAGATGTCTTGCATATGATTTTGAGTCAAATTCTAGGGTCAAGGTTTCGTTTACCTACTAAATGATTGATCATCTTAAAGTTGCTACAGCTACACTAGAACTCTGAAATTATGGTGAGGATTAGAGGGTTATATTTTTATATTCTAACACGCCCCCTCAAGTTGTGGACCCTTTTTATGGGTTGCAATCTAGAGTCACGTATTGAAATCATTTTTTTTAATCATCTTTAAATTCATGGCTAGTGGGAATTGAACCTAGGTAATTCTGATACCATCTTAAAATTCCTATCACTGCACCTAAACTCTGAAGTTAGGTTGAGGGTTAAGGGTTATATTTTTATGTTCTAACAGATAGATTGTGAAGGAAAATATTGAATCAAACACAATTGTGACTCATATTCAAAACTACCCTCAGAACAATAAGTTGTACGGAAAACCGATGTATCCTGAATATGGTTTGAATCCTAAATACTAGTTTTAAACATGCTATCATATTTTTGCATCTGCTAATGTATTATTCAGAATGCATCACAAGGACAACCTGGTAGGCTAGAGGGCCTTACAATATTATCATTATACGTATCAAGCACGTCAATTGTGGAAATTGTACACTGTGAAAAAGAATGCAATTTTTTTCTTAAGCTTACGGACTGACTGCGTTTTCAATACTAACATATTATTGGTCTAATCTGATCCTGACAGAAAAACATAACAACCAGAAATTATTAATTAAAAAAATCAAAGGACCGACAAAAATGCAAGAGCTCACTAAAAGTATTAAAGATACGTACTTCTTCAGTAGATCTCTCAAAACAGGGAACTTCTTCTGCAACTTGTCCAGATGTGATAGTCCTTGCACAAAAGTAACTGGGATGGTAAACACAACCATAAAAGCAAGTGTAGCAATCTGCACGGTAATTCTGTGAAGCCAAACTAGCCTATATGGTACCCATAGATTTGACCAGTAAACATCATTTGGTTCTGGAGCCAAGTCAATTGCCCACAACATTGGATCTGAAGACTGAGGAATCTGTGAAGCAACAACTGCAGCATAGCGTGTCTTGAAAAATACAAAGGCAGCTGAGGAATCCTGTACAGAAAATAAGAAAAGGTGATCAAATTTGTAAACAGATGAAAATGAATTTCTTGTTTCTAAAAGAAACTACTCTCATTAAATTATTTTGTAGAGGACTAGTATTCAATGTTGTCTGCATTAGAGAAAAAAATGTCTCTTAACCCTCAGTAAGACCTCAACATTTTGTTATCAAACCCATCCTGATCAGAACACAAGCTGGTCCTTAAGAAATTTGTTTACAAACATGAATTCTTAACAAATACTACTGCGGACAGCCTAGGTTGTGTCCCATGGAAATGAAGCATAGGATGCTAGAAGCTAGTTACACCACCTATTAAAGTACATGATATGTAATGAATTTTAATGATTGTTCCATTCAAATTGATCTAGATGTTATAAAGTTTTGATTAATCGACACAATTTGGTTATGTCCTGGAGTATGAAAACCTTTTTCATGTGTGTGCAGTAATGCGTATGAGATGGCTGCTCATTTCTAAACAAGCTACAAAGAAAAAAAAAACAATAGTGAGGTCCATCCTCTAGACTTATCGAAAGTAGTGGGCTTTCAAACTTCTATCTCTTGGTGACAGCTCATACCTAGTATCCCCTGTAGATATTTACGAACTTTGTTCTGGGCCAATTCCTAAGATTTTACCTTGGTTTGAGAAAAGTAACAACATTCTTGTAGATATGTGGGGTGGGTGCTAGATACAAAACAAGGAAGGTGAATTTTTTTTTTCAATTGGAGAGTTTAGAAACTATTATTGGGGCTTTGTTCAATGTTGATAGGGCTAATAGATATCACCTTTGAATTCTTCTTTGGTACTTCTATTTTGACATTGTTCTGCTCCCTTAAGCTTATATTTCTATTGAAATCCATGAGTCCTTGTTGAGATGGGTAGAATTATGGCAGCGGCACATCTTGACTGCAAAAATAGAGGGATGGATGACAGTAGGGACGATTGACTGGTCTAATGGTTGATTTTCCACAGAGTACAATTTGCCTCTGGAAGATTCAGCCAACTAGTGGGTCAATCAGTAATCAATTGGGCTCAAAAAGAGGATTTTCCATCAGATGTCTCTCATGACGGACTTGGAAGAAGAAGGAATTTTAGGACCTTTCCGGAGGATTTTCCATCTGGTGTCAAACCTCCTCATACGGCATTCAGAGAGGAAGGGCCTTTTCTGAGAAGCTTTGCAATATGCTAATGGTGCTTTGTCTTTTCAGTGGTTGACTTGGTCAAGCTTAGAATTCTGAAAATTAATTTGGACAAAGTTTGCAATATGTTAATGACGTTATCCTCTTTTCTTAAATGTAGACTCTTAACTTAAATAAAGCTTTGTTTAATTTTTTAGGGTTCATATGAGATGCACTTTGTTAACATTATAGTACTTTATTATCAACTAGTTAACAGAGACGTTAGGCCTAGATATTTTGTGTAATATTATTATGTCGAAAACTATACAAAATAAGATCAAAACAACAAGAAGAATGGGAATCACATGAATGCAGAAAAAGGGAGTTAGGTTAAACTGGAAGAAAATTTACCTTCTTCGTTGTCCTTGAAACAGAACTCTCAAGCTCATATCGTTTTGCTTCAAGCTCGAAGGCATTATGATAAGTATGTAAAGGACGAGAGCCCCCTCCACAGAGACCACATCTGTAGTTGCTAGAACGATGATGCTGGTTAAAACTAGTGTTCTTTAACCGTATAATTTTTTTATAGACCTTCTTCGCGTTATACTGTAAAATTGGAGAAATTAAACACCAATTAGAGACAATCAGACAAATTTAATTAAGGCATCACAGGAAATAAAAAGAGTAACACCGACAAACATAATGTATCTTCTAAACCATTTGATGGTAGCTGCTGAGATCTTTTACCACTCAACTCTACTAACATTCATCTTAGTTAAATACTAAAAATATAATAAAAATATCCTAGAGCAGACAATATTGTTTGGACCAACTGTTCATCCAGAAAATTCCAGAAAATTTGCTCATATTAGAAAATAGTTTAAAGTATCCAAATAGACTACAAATGAAACAAGTCAAGAAAAGCGTATTTTTAGGCTGTAAAAGCATATCAATATGTGAAAGTACGAAGTTAAATTCAATGGTTTCACTAAAAGAAAAAACAACAGAGCTACAGATAAACATATCGGGAAAAGGAAAGGTCATTGCTCATCAAAGGAAATTTCCTAAAAACAGTCTCCTAAAACGCAATGATGTATCATTCCAAATAAATGACATGCATCATTCTCTATTTGCATTAGAATATATGTGGATGAGAAATGATATGGTATAACACCATCTATTCATGACTGTCTCATCTGTTGTATGTTTGATATGTTACCATCATACAACTATTTCATGGGTGAAAGGTCTTCATAATTAGAGGACATAGATCATGATGATGGAATTTGTCATCCATTTGGTGGAACACCATATTTCTTTTCAGGGGTAGAAGAAATTTCATACATTTGACTACTCATTGCCTTTATTCTTGTTTTCACACACGCGGGGGCGCGCCCACACACTCATACATATATTTATAAACAATAAACAACTGTTCTTTCTAAGTGGTTTAGCTCAAAGGCATAAGAAGTTTTTTATAAACAATAAACAATTGTTCTTTCTAAGTGATTTAGTTCAAAGACATAAAAAGCTTTTTGGTCTTCTATGAAATGCATAGAACTCTTGATATGCACTGGGTCAACAATAAAGAACCATCCTTTATAAGTGGTTTAATTCAAAGACAAAGAGTTGTTTGTTTAGCCTTCTATCAAATGCACGAAGCTCTCAATACAGACAGGGTCTGGGAAGGGGTCGGAGAGCTATACTACTATTAATAGTATCCAACATGCGAATACAGGAATACTATCAACCAAATTTTGAAAATTGGAAAAAAAAAATCCAAACCATTGGATATGATCTATGACACATGCGTTATTTCAATATAACTTGCATTATTTCAATATAAGTTTTAGAAACTTGAGAGCGTATTGTTTCTTAAACTTGAAATTGTTAAGCAATCACTTCTTAATTGTTTGTTAAGTCTTCATGTCTTGTTGTGGTGACGTCATTATGTGATTGTGAAATTATGAATATACAAAGAAAATGAATGTAATTATGAACGCGCTACATATTTATGATTATATATTTGAGTATTTGATTGTGATACTTCCTAGTAAAACCTACATAGCTTATACTAAATTAAAGATTTTCTATTAAATATTTTTGTATTTTGACATTTTGTTCCGAATTCTTAAAATTATTATTAACATCTTTTATATTTTTAAAATTAAACAATAAGAAAATATTTTGTTTCTAATTGAGATGTTTTGTTTGAAATTTTTGATGATTCTAATTATTAAAGTCACTATGAATAGTTTGTATTTATAAAATATGTATACAATTAATAAACAAAATAACCTACGTTATGTGTTACGACTTTTTGCATTTTTTCTTTAACCATTATCAGGAGATAGAGCTTTACGTTATGTGTTGTCATTATCTTCAAATTGGGTGAAGGTATGTGGTGACATAGTCACTCTAATATGCTAAAGTATATTAGGGCACAAAAAATTGTAAAGAGGGTGGGATTGACATCTTTAATGTTGACTTCCAGAATTACGTTCAAGCTTTTATCATATAACTAGTAAAATATATTGGACATGGTAGGATATGTTTCCATGTCTTTACTACACAGGTTTTTTTATAAAGTAGCCCTTATCACTTGTTTTTTATTAGCTTTTAATATTCTCAATTAATTGTTATTAAAACTAGAATTAAAAGATAATTAAAGAAAATCAATAGAGATTCTGACTTCTCACCTCTTTTATAAAGACTATTTCTCTCTCTTGATAGTCGCTATTTCTCTTTCAAAAAACTACTGACGCTCTTGCTCCCCCTCTTCTCGTCTCTCTAAAA